CCCAGCCTGTGAGCCTCTTACTCCTGTTCTTGGGGGGAAAGAGGGGAGAGAAAATGCCTCTATCTGCATAAACACTGGAAGAGCAGATCTAGGAAGCAAAAACTACCACACCTGGGTGGGGGAGCAGCTAGAAGAAATTTCTTCAGGGTCTCTTCTGTTAAATTCAAGTGAAATTATTTGTTGAGTATTTATCTACTTTTCCTCCTTCCTTCCCTCTTCTCTCCATTCCTTCTTCCTTTCTTTTCAGACACCTGTCTCTGCACTAACACAGGGTATCTGCCATGCTATTTGCCAGGTATCAGCAGTAGTTATTCTAGATGGAACAATGCCCGTGAGAAGAAACCAGCTCTCTAAGTGGGGGAACTGGCCTGAGGCTGAAAGGGAAGAAGCTATTGGCCTTGGGGAATCAGGAGACAGGCTCTGGAGGCTGCCAAGCTTGCGCTCAAAGAGGGTGTTTCTAGCGACAGGAGCAGCAGGGGTGAGCAAGGCCTTTGTTCCGTTCTGGGACAGTTTAAACGTGACAGGAGGGTTTTGTCCTTTGAAGCATAGGGAGCTGCCTCCATACAAAGCCTCTCACAGCCCAGGCCTCAGGGCTACTCTGACAGCCACACACTGTCTAGGAAAACCCACATGAACCCCTGTCAGGTCGACTGACAGCCCTGACAGAAACTGCTAAAAAAATCCTAGAGAAAGTAACTCAGATTTCGCTATTATCCCAGGAGAAGAGCCTTGCATTTACAAGTAGTGGGTGCCACTGGGGAGCCTCCTCTTTTTAAAACCTCACTTTAAAAAGACAGCAGCAGCTGCCCATGGAGATACGGACACTGTGTAGGGCAGAAGCCGCCCCAAACCACCGCGCCTCCGCCCAGGGTCAGGTCCTGGAGTCAATGGCTCTTGAACTTGAGGAAGGTTTCATTTTATATGTGGCCTTAAATTTGTATGGAGGACCAAGTGAACCAGCGGTTAGCAGGCCGGTGCCTGACAGCCCATCCACTCCTATAAAACGTCCGGTTTCTCTCTGGTCCCACAGCTGCTCTTCATTGTGGCCTGCTCTCGGGAGACATGGAGGAGCCTCATGCAGTCCAGGACGGCTTTAATTTTAGAACGAGTGTGTGTGCACATGTGGTTTTGTTTGTGTGAGTGCGTGATGGTTTGTGTGTGTCCGTGCTTGCCTGTACGCGTTTGTGCATGTTTGTGTGTGTGTGTTTGCCTGTATGTGGGCAGCATGGCATGTTCAAGGGATCATACTATCCTGGGGTCCGTGAGGATGGCTGGTCGAGTCCTCCGGCCTCACTGTGGACGTGGCGGCAGAGTTGGGGGCTGCTGAGCAGCCCAGGGGCCTTGGTGGCTGGGGGGGAGGGGATGAGGACGAGGGGAGCAGGGATGAGGTCCCTTTGTGAGCCACTGGCCCCTGATGCCAATCACTGTGATCTGATAGCCAGAGGGAAGCAGGTAAGGGACTGAGAGGTTGAGGGGGTGAGGAGGTGAAGGGCTATTGGTGTTGTGGGATTAAGGACTCTGAGACTCACATGCAACGTTCACAGCAATGTTTAGAGCTTGGGTGCTAGGGATGAACTCTGGGGACACCCATATTTGACAGGCTGAGAAAGACATTGGTTCTCACTGGAGGGGTAGGAGGAGAACCAGGGGAGGTGAGGAGAGCAGTGACTAGGAGTGGGGGTGTCTGCATCAGAAGCGGGGAGGGCACAGTAGGTTGTCACTGATGGAGGATACAGATAGAATAGTTGGGAAGGAGACGCCTTAAGACCACACCTGGAGCACACAAAGCCAGGAGCAGGAGGTGGGGTAGAAGGGATGAGTTTAGTCTAAATCAGCTATGGGAGCCTTAGGCACCAAGGCACAGCTTTACATTGAGATTAGTAAATAGGGCACAGGCCTGAGGTAAAGATATGGAGACTGAGGGCCATTGTAGAATCTACAGTTCCTTTCTTTCTTTCTTTGTTTCTTTCTTTTTTTTTAAGAGAAAGAAAAAGTTTATGAGGTGAAAAGGAACAAAAATAAAGTAGGACCCTCAGGGTGGTGGAACCAGGCCTGGAAGGGCAAGAGAACAAAATCTACAGTCCCTTTCAAATTCTACATAGTTATGGGAATCAACAGCAAACAGCCCTCTGCAGGAGGGAGTGGGCCCCTCCCTAAGAGAAGTCTGTCTCAGTCTCTGCACTGGCCTGGGGCAGTAGCCCTCTGCCCACCTGTGACTATGCGGGTGCTTCTTTTTGCCAACTCTCTCCCTCCCCAGGGCAGCGGCCTCCTGCCAGCCAGGGGCCAGTATCACGCTGGGACTTCTCCTCACTGACATCACTCAGCAGAGGCAGCTCTCCTCAAGGCTGCCCACCTGCAACCAAGCAGGCCTCTCTCAGCAAACCTGTCCCTTTTGGGGCAGCCCTTTCTGCCCTCGTATCTATGCAAGTGTCCTTCATTCCTTCTCCCTTTTAAAATAAACCTGTCCTTTTGGATATAACTCATGTCTGTATCGTGGAGAAACTCACCCAGGGAACTTGCCATGTGCCGTCGAAGGGGGAGTTCTGGTGAAACCTTTCCCAGAGTGAACCCACACTCTGAACTCAACGACACCATCACCATGAGCTGGGGAACATGGCCAGCCTGAGAAGGGTTGGCAGCGGGTTCAGAGCTATTAGCAGGGACAGGCTGCTTTGAAGCACACAGCCCTGCTTCACTCTGAACTGCTACCCGCCACCCCCCCATTCCCTGCTTGCTTTCCTTCAAAGCCAGCCTGGGGAGGGCCGGGGGTCAGGATGGGGGCGACTGTGCCCATGAATGGCAGCCCCAGAAAACTTGGCCCACTCAGGCGCTCTCCTTTGAATCCCAGGCTGTTCTGTGGCTTGATTAATGAACAGCCCAGGGGGTGCCCCCCTTCCCTATTCAGAAGGACGCAGCGCCATGGAAACGCCGGACTCCTGTAGAGTCCTCTGGCTGACACTGGGAATGGGCGGCCTCCTGGGCTGGAAAGGCCCAGGCTGGGCTCCCAGGGTGTTAATGGGAAAGTGCTGGCCCAAAGCCCTGAGCTGGCACCCCAGCAAAGCCACTCCAACCTGTGCTTCAGCGGCATTAATTCTATTCTGAACCCGACAGCAGAGCTGGAAAGAACAAGGCACTTGGATGCTGACTTAAAATTTTTTTTTCCCTGGATTTTGAGGACTCTCCTATTTTAAGTCATGTTGGCAAGGACCTGGGGGGAACCTATTACCGGTCTTCAGAGGGGTCCACATGTAGCTTTGCAGCCCATACTAGGATTTGGGTGGTTCTTTTGACCAGAGCAAATTCCTAAGCGCACCAAAACCAGGAATAGGGAGTCTGTGCACGCAAGACCACTGTGCTCGCGGTGGCTAGGCCTCCCTGCCGCTCTTCCTCTTTATGGGGTGGCGGCTGGGCCTTCCTCCATCACCCTGTCACCAGAGGCTGCCTCTCCTCCTGGGCTGGAGCCTCGGGGTGCACGTGAGGCAGGGTGGTGACTGGGCGATGACGATGACCACGCTCTACTCTCAGGTCCCTTCAGGCCCTGCCAGTCCCTCTGCAAAGCACGGCGGTTTCCAACCAGACACTGGGTGAACCGGCTCAGGCTTGTGCCGGAGCAAGTCCTCACAAGCCCTTCAGACACATCTCAGCCAGGGTTTAGGGGGCCTGGCAGGCAGCAGTGTGCAAACAAAGTCACAGATGCACCTATCTATGCATCAGAATCTCGGACCCTACTTTCCTAGAAGTCAACTTTGTGTTTGATTCCTAAATAATTGATTCTGTTTCTAAAAACAGAATTTTCAGAAATTCTCCTGAGTTTTCATCTGTTGCCCGCTTAGTAGGAACAGACATTGAGAAGAGACCCAGGTGTTCCTAGATGCATCAGAATTCATGCGCGGCCGGGAGCTGGTGGTGGGGTCCTTTCCCTCCAGAAGGAGCTAACCCCCAAAGCCTGTGCTGTCACCCAAGCAAAATGCCAGCAGCTCAGAAAGATGGGGTTTCTGAAGCAGATCAGCTGAAGTGTTTGGGCGGCCTGAGCTGCGGCATCATGAACACCTGGAGGTAATTACTAAAAGCGACGGATTTACGGGGCGGTCAAGACAAATAGTCTGTAAAACAACTTTTATTTACAAAGGCCAATAATGAGTAGTGTAGCGTGAAAAGCTATCCCTTCCAAAAGATTCATGTATAAATTATGTATAAAGTTAGAATATTCTATGTAAATATATCAAAGACCAGCCGAGCCACCTGGTTTCACCCTTCGGCTCCCATCGTGGCTTCTCAGTTTGAAGGATGCTCCCCTGGGAGCCTGGCGTGGCTGCCTGCACCCACAGCAGGTCCACGCCCCGCTGCTCAGAGGGCCTGGGTCACCTGAGAGCAAACGTGGCCGAAGGGGGTTTGACTTGGCTTAGACAGGTTATGACGGCCTTCACTTTACTCAAACCTGGGGGTTAGCGGGATTTGCCGAGGTTGTTAAGCTCCACTCTGCTGCCTGCATCTGGGCAGATGAGCTAGGCTGGTCTGCCTTTCCCTAACGCACTGGTCTTGGCAAGGGTGAGGGCCTCTAGTCTGTCTGACCGGAGAACAGCCCTCATCCCCCTCATTAAGAGGCGAGATGGTCATCAGACACAGGGCTGCTGTGTGTCTGTTCAAGGGTCCCTCTTCAACACACACACGAGCCAACAAACCCTAACAGGATGAAGCGGCTCCCCCAAAACACCAGGCTGTAGGCCGAAGGAAGCCCGGGTCAGCGGGGCACTGCTAAGAGCACCCCACGGGTCAGGAGACCTGGAGGCCACGCGGCCTTGGCAGCCCTCCTCACTGGACCTCTGCTGCTGGCTCCCACCTCCCTGCCACAAACCCTGCTCCGGCCCGGCTGGCGCAGAAACCCGCAGCAGGGCGGCCTCCGAGTCTGCCCCCAAACACAGCCCCTCGCATGCCCCATGGCCTTGGCCCCAGTGTCTTCCTGCAAGTGTCCAGACAGCCTGTCTGCCCTGCTCTGGGCCTTCCTGCTAGCATGGGCCTCCTGCACCGTCTCCTCAGCTGGCATGTGGTACATGGACGTGAACCCAGGACTGCAGAACATGTCAGCTTCCTGGGGATCCTGGGTGTGTGCCCGGAGCCCATGGGCAGCTCTGCTGTGAGGAGCGGGCAGTGGCGGCCCCGACGCCACAGCTCCCGGCTCTGCAGGGTTGGGGTGGAAGGCGTGGTTCTGCTGACACACAGCCAAGGTCCAGAGGCTCCACATCTGGTGTTGGCAGTTCGTGTATCTGAGGTGGAGAAAAGGATACTCTGGGAGCGCCAGATTACATACCCAGCCTCCACCAGCAAAGAGCCCATTTGTTCAATTCAACCAGGTGGGCAGGCACAGCAGTGAGCCTCATATGCTACTCAGCTGCCCCCCAAAGCACACATCTGGGTCTTTGGGCACCTGCCGCCTGAAGAGGCCCTTTCTCCTCTATCCATTTCCCATGTCTATTCTTCTGGGATGTTGTCTTGCTACCTCTTGCGGTCCTGCTCCCAGATCACCTCCACCCAGCTCACCCTGCCACTGCCACCAGCAGCCTGGCCTCAGGAGGACTGTGGGGACAGATGCCCAGGAGACCTGTTTAGCAGAGGACCAGGGAGGTGGGCATAAGGAAGGTGGTCCTCTAGGGCCCCAGGCCCTCCTGTTCCTGTGGCCTGAGAATCCCTGAGAAAACTGGAGGTTGTTTCTGTGGTTACATTATAGTTTGGCATTTTTTAAATCCTCAGGACCCTGGCATGACCTCCAAGCAACAGATCCAGAGAGTGTAGGAAGGGCTCACAAGGGCAGGCTGCATCCAGCAAAGGGCACTGGACAGTCACTGGACATCAGCTGATGCCGCACTTGAGGCACAGCAACTTACTGTGGTAGCTTCCAGAATGCCTGCTGCACTCAGAGGTGCACATATTTACAAATTTCAGGGGCATTTTCTTGAGTGGAAAACTCAGGTCCGCAGGCTGATCTCAGCTCTGCTAGCTGGCCAGAATCTCACAGGTTGTGGTACACTCGATGGCTCTAGACAGAGCTAGCCCCAAGCAGGGTTATCCTTATAGTGACCGAGGTTTGTGGGTACCCAGACCTACAGTTCCAGAGGCTACTCCTTCCAGAAAGTGGTAAGGAAGCAACAAACATGCCCCCCAATCTGGAGAATGTATCTTTTTCCCTCAGGTGTTGAACTGGGTACACTGGCCCCTAGAGACCTTTCGATCTGGGTCCCCAGAGGAGGATGGGGCACTGAACCCGGGAACAGCCCCAAGGGCAGAGACAGGCAGGGGCTACAGGATGCTCACATCAGTAACGAGTCAGTCAGCTTATCAGTTCAGTGGGGGGAAAAGAATGAACACATCGATCTGGCAGACAACAGACCAAATAAATAATTAAACCAGCCAGCCCCCAGCTGAATTTTTTCCAACACGCTGAATAGCACCTAAGTGGGGAACAGGGCCAGCCTGTGCCAGCACTGGGACTAATGCCAGCACTGGACAACACAGAGCTCCCCACGGACCTGGCCCATGCTGGAGCTCCCTGAGGTTGGACATCAGAAAGGCTACCAAACTTCAGAAGACTGGGGGTGGGAGGGGGAACCCAAAGTTTGCAGAGCCCACCAGGTCCGTCTTTGGGCCAGCTTTCAAACATCGGTCTCTTCTGAGATGTCATCTCCCTCCCAGAGAGGAAGCAGCTCTGAATGGGGTCTGCAGACACAGATGCCAGACGGGATACAAGCTTAGAGGCACTGGAAGCCGGACCCAAACTCCAGGTCCCTCATTTTTACCCACCAGCAAGGATCAATCTCACTTTAACAAAGGACCAGGACTGACTTTCTAAAGAAACACCTCCAATTGGATGGGGCTTCCGGCTGCCGACAAGGCCATGCTTCTCGGACCTGTGCCTGCAGAGGCAGGCCTGGGCAGTGTGGGGCTCAGAATGTCCCATGAGACTGTACTGCCTGCTCCCCTCCGCCCCCGCCACTTCCCCTGGGGGACCTCACAGAAGCCATGGTAACTGGGCTCAGAGGACATCTGGCCCTGCTGCAGTTATCAAGAGAAAACTGGAGGTTGTTTCTGTGGTTACATTATAGTTTGGCATTTTTTAAAAGCCTAAACACCTATCACAAAATTCTACCAGATTCCTTGGGGTGGCACCCTATGGGGTAAGGAAAGATGACAGAAGAAAGATCAGTGTGGTGAGGGGAGCAGGAAAGAATAAGAATTCATCTTGGGATGCTGATGTCTTCTCATTTTGCAAAGACTGCGTTTTGCTGTGGGGATGAGGGAGAACCTACCGTCCCCTGCAGGCCTGTGTCATCTCTTAGTCTTCCAGAAGGTACGGCACAGTGGGTCTGGCTTGACCTACTGGGTTGAAATGGGAGCAAGTCCTGATGGAGTAGGTGTCAGCGAGGTTGAGGAGGTGACGAGGTCAGTGCTGGACCCTCACGGAGCAGCTCTTCCCAAGTCAGGGTCAAAGAGAGCCCATCAGCTGCTACAAGAGAACGTGTCTTTGCAGGGCTCCCTGGCTGCGCCCACTATTCCGGGCAGCTGTGTCTGCCCGGCACTGAAGCCCCAGAGTGCACTGCAGTGAGAGATGGGCCCGTGCCCCTTGCCAGAGAATAAAGGCATTTGGGATTCTTTAAATAATAAGCAAAACAAAAGAGAAAAACCCATTAAGATGTTCTGGTGGTAAGCAGGTACTGTTCTTTTCCTAACAAGATAAATTATTTTCCATTTATAGTTACTGTGTCTTCTAGAAGTGCTTTGTCCTCTCAGCCCCAACCTTCTCTGATAGAGCCATCACCATGGGGGGGGGAGGGGAGGACACGTGCAGGGCTCTAGGTGCTTTTCTTCACAGGTGGAGACGGAGCAAAGATAATCTCGTCTGAGTCATCGGAGCTGACATCATCTGCAGGTGGCCCCGAGGGAGAGGACTCCACTGAAAGGAACCAGAGTGGGGGAGGCTGTCACACCGACTGCTCAGGACCTTCCAGGGCACCCATTCCGGGCACACTTTCACATCAGCTCCAGTTCACACCCACGCACGGTGGGTGTACGGCTATTCTCTGCAAGTTTGGTGTTGTTTGACTAGTCTCTCGGGGATGGGCCCTCAGAATCGGCTGCCCATCGTGCCACAGGGTCACTCACTTAACGCCGAGTCACACCCACATCCGTCTCTAAGCTTAGCTCTGAATATTCTTGGAAACGTAAAGACGGCCAGCATGAAGGAAGGGCGAGCCTGGCAGGGGCTGAGCTGCCCGCACAGCAGCCCCATGAGTCTGGCCTGCAGTGCAGAAGAGGCAGCGGCCCAGCCTGTCTGTGAGAGCGGCCGGCTCCCAGGTGGCACACCCGCCCAGGTGAGGTAGGACGGCCCGACCTCCCCACCACTGTGAGCGTCCCACGGCGGGTCATCCTCCCCAGCTACACTTTCCTCATTCACATTCCAGCTGACACTAGAATGAGGTGCTGGCACCACACCCATGGACTGGGGGTGACGGATGTGAGGAAAGGCAGGTTCCCACCCATCACAGGCTGCCCAGCCCCCAAAAGGGGTCTTTCACCTACTATTCATAAAGATGAAAGTGAAAAAATGACTAACCACTGATCAGAGATACAAAAGGGAAGGAAGTTAGGGCTGAGCCATGCTGCAGATACGGTAGCTGCACCAGCCTTTTTTCTGTAACTTCCAGAAAGTGAACAGTTACCCTTGTATTTGCTCTGTGAATGCCACCTCCGCAGAGGTGCAACCCCCTGATGTACACCTGGTATAGCATTTGCATATAACCTCCACACAACCCCCTGTGTACTTCAAGTCATCTCTAGATTACTTATAACACCTAGTCCACTGTAAATGTAAACGCTTGCTTAGGGAATAACGATGAGCAAACAGTCCATGTTCGGGACTGACACAGCCACCCAGGCCTCAGTCCCGGGTATGGATTTCCCATCGGGGGTTGGAGGAAGCTGCAGATACAGCACTGTGGGTGGGGGCCCAGCTGCATGAAAGTGGAAACTTAGGAAATTAAAAACATCAGTTTTCAAGGTTTTTTTCCCCCCCTTAACAAGTCTTTCACAATTAGATCAAAGAGGAGCTTCATTCCTACTTTTCACACACTTGCATCCTTGGGTAAATAAAAGCTGAACACCTGACTGTTCTGCAATAATACTCTTCAGACAGGAGGATGAAGCTGCTGCAGCAAAATTACATACATTTATCAGGGGGAGAAAAGGGCAGCATAAACAAACACTTTAACTTTGATCAAAGACGCTAAAGGTCACCCAGTGCAGGGCCTGGTGAAATGGGCACCAAAGGACTATTTGGAGAACACCTTAAAGCCTTTCGGGGTGCCCACAAGTTCTAGGATGGCTCCTGGGGTTTCTTGGGCTTTGCATGTTGGCACATCTTTCCTATAAATGCCAGGCTGCTAATCTTTGTTAGTTGAGCTACACAAATGGAGACAATATCAAAGTTCAAAGTTTGTGAGCTCCGACAACGCTAGGAAAAAGATTAAAATGTGACTTCCAGGTGCTGCTTGTGCAGAGGAGTCTCCGGACTCCGCCCCGTGTGCCAGCCCCGGGGAGGTGTGGTTGGCTAAGGGCGCTCAGCCAGAGCAGGCTTGAGGCAAGCTTAAGTCAAGAACTCACCGAGCAAGGGGGTTCGCTGTGGCCCCCCCACGGGTCTCAACTCACCGGGGCAGGGCTGCAAGGCGGCAGGGCTCCCTGGTCCCCAAGGCCTCGGCGCTGCTTCCTCAGTAGCTGGTCTGCCCATGGTATCCCAGCTGCTGGCTTCACTGTCTTCCTTCCCTGAAGGAACATGCAGACTGCATAGAGGCGGCACCAGACGCTGCCAGCGGGAGCCACCACACCACACCTCCGTCTACTCCGACACTTCCTTCGGCAAACCCACTTCCTTTGTAGTTTCTCCGGATACGAAGCATCATCTCTACCTGCACCCTGCCCCTCTCCAATTCCATCTCTGAGGCCACAGAAGCCAGGACAGGAAGTCAGGACTGGAAGCATGGTGGACCATTGGGGATGTACCCACTATTTTTGGGTTAAGTATTACTTAAACCAACAAATAGGAAAAACTTGGGCTCAAGGGAGCTGAGAACAAAATCCAGACATGAAAATCATGAAGCGCTCACTGTAGTAATTGTGGGAATACATCGATGTCTGTGATGCCTGACCCTGTTCTCCAGTCTCCTGAGCTCAGGGAGTCCCTTCAGGCTGCCCCTACTATCCAAGGGACACAGCTGTGATGTGGGAGGCTTGGTTGAGGTGACTTCTGGCTGAGGGAATTACTGAGATTGCAGGTGGCTGCAGGGAGGGCAAGGCCCTACGTGCCCTCACACGTGTCAAGCTTGAGGAAGAGTGGCAGCTCTTTTGGCTAAAACCTCAGGGGCCAGCTGCCCCTCACACTGGAATCCAAAATGAGGGCCTTCCTGGTGGTACAACCGGTTAAGGTGCAGCACTAGGAAGCTGGCCGCAGGCACCACAGCACAAGTTCTACCTTCCTGGCCAGGGAGCTGACCCACAGGGTGCGGCAGGCCTCTCCTGACCCGCCTGCTGCTCCCTTCAGCAGTGCACTTCAGTCAATCTGCCTGTTCTGCTCCCCGCTCTGTCTCTGGTGGATCCTCTCATTCCTCCACCCCACACCTCTGGCCTGTACCCCAGCTCTTGTACACATAAATAAATCTTTAAAACATAAGACAAAACACTAGATTCTAGAGTGAAATGCAATTACCAGGAACAGCTGCTGCAGAGGGTGGGGAGGCAACCCCTTCACGGGAGGCTGACGCAGGTCTCCTCTTGGCAGAGGCAGCAGAGCTGGCGCCTGTGCTGGGAACACTAGGAGAAAGAGCGCGAGCTTTACCTGACCTGACAGGACACGAACCCGTCTGAGACCCACAGTAGGGCCTGACAAACACAGGTCCTGAGACCTGGTCTTTCCCGCTGCTTCCTGGTGCCCTGGGGCTGTGTGGGGCCAGCGGCCTTGCCTCAGTGGGCATGCTCATGAGCTGTGCAGCTCTCCACCTCCTGGGTGTGGCTGACTGCATCCGGGACGATCCCCAACCTACACTGAGCCCTTGGCCCTGTCTGAGGGAGCTGGGGAGATGGAGTCTGGGTTATGCAATTCAGGTCTCCTTTTGCAGAGAGAAACTGTAGATTTAAAACCAGTTTTAAGACCGAGAAACAGACATCCACGGCAAAGGGGAGTGAGCCTGGCAAGCAGAGTGTTGCTGAGTGGAGATGGAGGGAGGGCAGCCAAGCTTCCCTCAGTGGCGGAGCCCAGGCCTGGCCTGGCCCCAGCCAGCAGCATCCCTGCCTTGTGCCTGATGTTCTCTTAGCCTCACTAGAAGTTCTGCTCTTTACCTGAGTTGACCTAAGTGGGATTCTGACTTTCTTCAACCAACAAAAGTCCAATATCCCAGGAAGTCCAGCAGGGATGCTGCTACTCAGAAAGAGTCTGTGTTGCTGGAGGAAGGCCTCTGACCAGGCCTACCTCTCCCTCAACACTGGGTCAGGTCACATTTTTCTCTAAAAAGGGCAGTGCATTAGGACAAGTGACAGTCTGTAAGCTGGTAGCTACCAGACACACGGTCTCAAACTGGCTACTTGTTTTCTTCCAGGACAGAGAAATGATTCTAAAGAGGCGTCTTCAGGAGGACCAGAACTTGGGGCTCACCCCACCTGCACGGAGAGGCAGGGGATTTCCCACAAGGTGCGACTTTTGCTCTGGCCCAGGGGCTGACCCCCTGACTCTTGCGCGGCCTCTTGTGCGGCCTCTTGCGCAGTGGCTGTGTCTGGCACATCCCTGCAACACCGAAGAGAGGTGGGCCTGATAATCACTTACCTGTGTCTGGTCCGCGCCAGGTGTGCCCGGAAGACCGACTGGATGACGGTAATGGCCTCCTCTTGCTCTGGGTCCCCCTCAGCCTGGTCAAGAGGGCTCAGCACATGGGGTGAGGGACAGTTCTGTAGCATAATGACAGTGGGGAAGAAAATCACTGGAGAACCTTGAGGGTAGTCACCCTCAACCTGAGAACCAGGTAAGAGCACACTCTGTTCCAGGTGACTCACCTCATTACCAATTACACAGCCAGCAATTTCCTGATTGTGGGTTCTTAATTCTTAGACTCTAGGGATGCTTAATGAACAGCTTGTCTTTTTTTTATAAAGGAGGGTGCTGCTATGGAAAGCTTCTATCTTCATTATATTTTTAATCTTATGCTTTAATTGCAGGATTCACATGCTACTCAAAGTGTCATAATTGCTGAGCAATTTGGCCCGAGGCCTAATCCACCTGGGGAGGGTCCACAGGTGTTGCTGCCTGGCTGGAATGTGCTGTGGGATGGCCAGGGTGGCACACCCACAGTAGGACAGGAAAGTAGGCTGCACGATGCCCCAGGCTTTCCTTGGTTGCTTACATATGGGAAGAAAAAGTGGAGGTGGATCGGTGAGAACTCTAGGTCTGTGTCCAGCCCCTGCGAGCGTACCTGGTCAGGAAGGCGTGGCATGCTGGGAGAGTCTGAGCCACTTGTTGTGCTTGTCAACAGCTTTGCCCGTGTTAGATGTCCCCTGAAAGCTGCCTGAAGCACCACAGCTGCCTGGCAGGGAAAGAGGAGAGAGAGGAACAGATTTTAATTTCTCTGGAAGATGGCAGGTACAGATCAAGGGAAATTCCAGAGGGAGAAGCTAACACAGCAGGGAAAATTACTTCCCTAACTACAACACAATCACAGGAGTATCTGAGAACCTCTCTTTCCCTGACCCAGAATCTCCTACAGCAAGAAACATACTGACCCTACTCTCTAGGGAGGAAATGATGATCCCCACAGGAAGCTAATGAAAAGTAAATGAATCATCTGTTAAATTTAGCTGCTAAAATACTCTGGTTTCTCTTCAGATCGTGTAAGTTTTTTGCCTTTTAAAATTTAGCTGCTAAAACCAGACCAAATATTTTTCAAAAATACTAGGCAGCAAGTATTTTATTTTTAAAGATTTATTTATGCATATAAGAGCTGGGGTGCAGACCAGAGGTGTGTGGGGGGTGGTGGTGAGAGGATTCACCAGAGACAGAGTAGGGAGCAGAACAGGCAGAGCTACTGAAATACAGTACTAAGGGGTGTCTGCTGTGCTATGTGGGTCAGCTCCCTGGCCAGAGATCAAACTCGTGCTGCAGTGGCTGCAGATAAGTTCATAATGCTGAGATTTGACCTCCTGAGCCATCAGGAGGCCCTGCTGGTCCATATTTTATACATGGTTATGTTTTCATAGTGGGACAATGTACTTCATGGTGTTTATTCTAATTCATACACTTCCCAAATATATCAAGCAGTGGAGAATGTGATCACAAAGGAATTATTTATCCTTTGGCCTTCATGTCAAAATACATATGGATGCACTGTCAGTTCTGAAGCCAATGCTTTGGAATTTAGGGGCTGCATTTTATTTGCATGGTCCATGCTCGGGGAAGCTTGGCTCCCCTCTCTGCATCTTCATTCAACTCTTTTTTTGAAGGATGACATGCATGTATGCTGAGCCTTGAGGTGACATGTGTCTAGGGGTCTAGACGCTTCCGTAATCACAGTCAACAAAAGGAAACGTCTTTGCTTTTTCTCGAAGGCAAGGTGACGAAACTGTCACAAACATAGAACTGAGAACAAGTATACCAAACAGGCGAGAGAACGTCACCAAGGACAAAAAACTGAGAAGGCTCACATCCTGGATGTGGCAAAGCTACTGCTCTAGTGGGGTGACGTCAGCTGGAGGGGTGACAGCTGCTGGTACTATACCAACCAAAGCGGAACAAAAAGCGAGGGAGTCTCTGTCCTGCCCACTGTGTCCACATTGAGACTGGCCCCGCACAACAGCCCTGTGCAGGACTTTACCACCCGGGCTCCCTGGTGAGGGAGCTGGGGATGGGGAGGGGACACCAGAAGAGGAGAGACAGGGAGGAGGACAGCACACACATAACCTGGCTCGTAAACATGCTGTTCAGTCCTCTGAGGAGAACCAAACTCATTTACTCACTCATTCACTCATGCCAGGCACCCTTATGGAACTGGGAAGATAGCAGGAAAAAAAAAAAAAACAACAGGTATTTTCTACCTCAAGGAGATAACTAGTGGGAGATGAACAATGAAAAAAAATTAAGGTCGGATAAATGCCATGAAGAAAAATAAACCAGGACATAGGCTGGAAAGTGACAGGTAGAATAGAGCACTCAGGAGGAGCCTCTGAGGTGGTGCTGTCTGGATGGACGAGGGAGAAGGACATGCAAATGTCCGGACAGAGCCTCTGGGCAACAGGAACAGCAAGCGCAGAGGCCCTGTGGTGGGATAGCTTGATATTGTCAAGTCATGCCAGAAAATTCCCCAGCTGGGTGAAAGGGGGTATGCAGATCTGGAAGGGTCTTTAGGGAACAAGTTTGGATTCTGTTCCAAGTGTGGAAAGAGTATATTAACATTTAGGATTATGTCACCCCGCTGGCTGTCTGGAGCCGAGGCTACAGAAGGTCAAAAGCAGAAGCAAGGGAACAGGCAGGGGTCACCAGAACGGGCTTGGGGGCTGACACCTGCACTGCCCCAAATCCCACCAGTTCTCTGCTCCTAGTGACTGCTGCCAGCGGCGACTTCCCCCCTCACTCACAGAATGGCTGCCCAGCGACGCTCCCTTCCAGCAATGAGCCACACTTCACTCCACTGAGTTCTTGTGCCTCCAATGTTCCTTCTCCTGCCTCTCGGTCAGTGAGTTCTTAATCATTCTCAAGGTCTAGCAAGAACGGCACCCCTCAGGCACTTCCTGCTTACAAGCAGGATGGCATGTGCCATGATGCCGCCCTAACGGCACTTTGACCTGCCTTTCTGCTCTTCTTGCTTGGCACAGAAGTGATGTCAGAAAGTGTGCCGGAGAATGAATGAATGACTGAGTGAATTTTGAAAGTGCAAACTTATCCAAATGTTTATTTGGTCTAAATGTTGGCGTCTGGTCTGACTTCCCAAAAACCAGCACCTAATGATGCCACAGTCACTTCACTCTGAATGAAAAAGATGTATTTTGAAATCAGTGAAGTCAAACTTGCTTACCTCATCCAGAACAGCTTTTTTTTTCTGAAACAAAGAGATAAATTAGCAGTTAACACAAAGATGACTTTCCCCACAGTACTGTTTTCACGTCCTGATCTTATCACTGCTAGTCTGCAGGGGCCAAGGTGGACGGTGGCCAAGGTGCCAGGACCCCTCACTGACAGCACCCCTCCACCACCCACACCCCAGGAGGCACCAGGGGCCTGGTCCTCGCTCACCTGCTGTGGGGTGAATTCCACAGTGACTTTATCAGACAGTCAACAGGAAGCCTCCTGAGCTGGAGACCACACTGGGGCTACTTCCAGGGTAGGGTGGGGGCTGCACGAGCCAGCAGGGTCTCTGTGACCCTGCCTGCCCCCTGCTGTCTGGGGTGGGGCAGGTGAGCCAACAGCAGCTTCTGGACAGGTCACTGCCCAATTCCTCTGGCAGTGGGCACTATCATCCTGCCAGCCCGAGCTGAGAGGTGAGTCTCTCTGGCCTGGCAGGGTCACCACCCCTGACACTATCACACCCTGCTGCCCCTCAGCCCACGCCGTGTCACTTTCAACTGCACCATTGATGTCTCCTACATGTCCACACACTCTCTGTGCCTAGTGGCATGCCACACAGCAAAGGGATGTGTGAATGTCAGTCGACTGAACATGTGAACAAAACGCCTTCTCTGGTGGGAGGACAATGCTGCGTGCCCTTGGCGAGAGGGCAGGTGCACTTGTGAACGTCACCTTGTGCTTGTACACCTTCCAGCGGGTCTGCAGGGTCCTGGCAGCCGCCTCTCTTCTCCCTTCAGAGCAGGAGGAGGGTGGCCGGGAGCAGCCCCCTTCACTTGTATCTGGTCCAAAGTCTTGCAGAGAGGGGTTCCTGTGGGGCTGGAGACCTTGGGGCTCTTCTTGGACCTGCAAGAAAAGCAACGAATGGAAGTGTGATTGTGCCTGCAGCGGCCCGGGCGGCAACTGTCAGCCCAACAGGGGCTGCACATATCAGATTAGACTTCTAGTAGCTCAGATGGAAAATTGTAGCTGCACTGTTCATCAGTCCATATAGCAGAGATCTCTGGAGAAACAAGATGAAAACTAGTAAAGATGTTTGAATTTGCTTTTATTAAACACCCTAAACTCCCTCTAGGGGCACTCTTCTGGGAGAGGTGATCTCACCTACAGGGTCCAGGAGGCCTCTAGGTGAAACACAGTGTACTTTCAAAGCTCAGCAAGATTGGTACATTATTGCAAGAGTATTTTCATGCCTGGGGTTCTTTTTTGTCTTTCAGTCTGATGCTGTATTACAAAAATAGGAATTTTGGAATAAGTGTAGTAGATTTCTAGTTTAGCTTTTAAGGTACAAAGACACCATGCTGTCTCCTATATCGTCCCACAGGCCCGCCACACCTCATGGCATGCCACACAACAAAGGATGTGTGAATGTCAGTGTGAACAAAAAGATAAATTCAGTTACTTAGGCAACAAATAACCTTTACTGCTAGGAGTTTACTCCAAAATTCTTGGCAGAGAGCTGAGCAAATTTTA